GGTTACCATCAGATTAGGGTCGAACCATAGGACTGCGCCAAAACAGCTTTCAGGACTAGGTACGGGTCGTTCGAGTACACTGTGATGCCATTCGGGCTGACCAACGCACCGGCGACTTTTCAGATGACCATGAACGAGGCGTTTAGGCCGCTCTTAGATAAATGTGTGATAATTTACCTCGACGACATCCTAGTTTACATTCGGGATAAGCAGCAGCATTTAGCAGATCTGGAAGCACTATTTAAGGTTCTAGACGAGCACAGATTACTGACCAAGGGTTCCAAGTGCGAGTTCTTCCAGGATAGGTTAGAGTTTTTAGGGCACGTGATTTCGGAGGCTGGAGTTGAAATCGACCCAAAGAAGCTGGACACGGTAAAAGCGTGGCACCCCCCGACGAACATCACGGAGCTGCAGAGCTTTTTAGGGTTCGTTAATTATGTGCGTCGGTTCGTCCCCGACATGGCACGGTTAACTGCCCCACTGACGGATTTACTGCGAAAGGGGGTCGCTTTTACGTGGGGGGGGAAAGAGCATGCTGCCTTCTCTGCCCTGAAAAATGTTCTCTGTTCCCCGCCCGTCCTGCGCATCGCCGACCCACACCGCCCATTCGAAGTAGTTACCGACGCAAGTGACATCGCCATCGGAGCCGTACTACTACAGGACTTCGGCAACGGCCTACAGCCCATCGCATACGAGTCACGAAAACTGCATCCGCCCGAGAAAAATTACCCGATACACGACCGCGAAATGCTTGCGATCGTGCACGCGTTCAAAGTATGGCGCTGTTACTTGACCGGCGCAGACGTGACAGTACGGACAGACCATAAGTCACTACAGTACCTTCGCGCACAGCCACACCTTAACCCACGACAGATTCGCTGGCTCGATTTCCTCGAGTCCAACTTTCACTACACGGTCACTTACAAAAAGGGAGCCTCGAAAATCGCCGATGCAATGACCCGCCCCACTGCCCAGATCCACGCAATACTACTCCCCCAGACAAGCCCACTACTGACAGGCCTATTTACCCACGAGTACCAAACGGATCCATTCTTCACAGGAGGAAATTCGCAGCAGTTCGCAGCAGCAAGGGGAGTCTATTACGTAAAAGCCGGGACTGACCGCATTTGGGTGCCTGGGTATACACTACTACGGAAATTACTATTACAGGAGGCACACGACGGAGTTACCTCGGGGCATTTCGGAGTAGAAAAAACACGGCAGCAGCTGCAGCGGTATTATTACTGGCCCGAAATGTTGACCGACGTACAACGACACGTGGCATCGTGTCCCACTTGTCAGCTCATGAAATCATCACGACAGCGGCCGGCGGGACAGTTGCAGCCGATACCACCCCCAGAGCGTGCTTGGCAGCAGGTGACAATGGACTTCGTCACGGGGTTACCGGCCGGGGCGATTGGGAACGACGCGATCCTGGTCGTCGTCGATCGACTGACGAAAATGGCACATTTCGCAGCCTGCAAAAAATCAATCACAGCCGAAGAAACAGCACGCCTCTTCACCTCCACCGTCATTCGACTGCACGGGATACTTGCCGCGATCATCAGCGACCGCGACACGAAATTCACCAGCAACTTCTGGCGGAACCTGTGGCAGCAGTTCGGCACGCAACTGCAGTTCAGTTCATCATACCACCCCGAAACCGACGGACAGACAGAACGGACAAATCAGACCATGGAACAGCTCATCAGGGCCACGTGTGACGACGCGACCACGTGGGAACAGCAACTGCCACTCATCGAATTCGCGTACAACAACTCGCCATCCGCCACGACCCAACAGTCACCATTTTACCTAAACTACGGACAAGACCCGACAGTACCCATGACCCCGAATCCCGACAACCCAGTACCACGAGCACAACAATTCGCCGAAATATTACAAGCTGCACGGACCCGGGCAGCAGACGCAAAAAAAAAATCGAACATCATCGCTAAACGCAACGCCGACCGCCACCGCAGACCTGTCACTTACCAGCCCGACGACCTAGATTTACTTGACACTCAGAACCTCCGATTGCCCATCACCCCGAAACTCCGCCCCCGATACTGCGGGCCATTTCGCATAAGCCATATGATTACACCTGTCACCGCCCACCTCCTCCTCCCTGCTGACTGGTACGTCAGCCCCTCATTCCACGTCAGCCTACTTCGCCCTTACGTCCCGTCCACAACCCAACTGCCACGCAATCGCCCAGCCAGCATGACAAGACCACCAACTGAACCAATCATCAACCCCGAGAAAATCTTGAGTCATAGAGTTCGCGACCCATGAGGAGCCCGAAGGATCAAGTTCTTGCTCCGCTGGAAGGACCGTACACCCTGTCAGAATGTTATGTTTGTCTAGCCTGCAGTGGGGTACTCAATAGTGAGTACAGCCCAATTTAGGGTTTGCTATATGTACTCAACTGCTTGCTAGTGAACCATCTCTCTTCTTCCATTTTTCCTCATTTTCTCACATGCTATCAGAGCATCTACGCTCCTGGCCTGTGGGCCCACCTAACTGCTTCCGCTGCTACTCTGTCTGCTGCACGCCCCGTAACGTGCGACCACATTTTCCTTCTCGGCCCCTCTCGGCCCCTTCGCGGCCCCGTTGCCGCCCTTTCAGGCCCCTCGTGCGGCCCCTTCGCGGCCCCGTTGCCGCCCTTCCAGGCCCCTCGCAACCCCTTCGCGGCCCCGTCGCCGCCCCTACCGGCCCCGTCGCCGCCCTTCTAGGCCCCTCGCGGCCCCTTCGCGGCCCCGTCGCCGCCCCTAACGGCCCCGTCGCCGCCCTTCTCGGCCCCTCGCGGCCCCTTCGCGGCTCGTCGCCGCCCTTCCAGGCCCCTCACGGCCCCTTCGCGGCCCCGTCGCCGCCCCTAGCGGTCCCGTCGCCGTCCCTAGCGGCCCCGTCGCCGCCCTTTGCGGCCACGTCGCCGCCCTTCGCGGCCCCGTCGCCGCCCCTAGCGGCCCCGTCGCCGCTCTTCGCGGCCCCGTCGCCGCCTCTAACGGCCCCGTCGCCGCCTCTACCGGCCCTGCCCCGGCCCTGCCCCGACCCTGTCGCGGCCCTGCCCCGGCCCTGCCCCGGCCCCGCCCCGGCCATGCTCCGTCGCCTGGCACGGCGCACCGGGGACCCGTGCACCGCCCCCCCCCCTCTTTTCCCGTCGCCTGTCGAGGCGACCTGAGGGGGCCGCGCGCCGGGGGGGGGGGGGGGGGGCGAGCGTCGCCCCCTCTGCCGCCTGCTTTGGCGCCCTGGGAGGCCGCGCGTCGGCCCCCCCCTTCCCCCCCTCCCCCCCCGTAACCTCCCTACCCGCCATCCCGCCTTGCCCTGTGTTAGGGTTTGGGGGTGGCGAGTAGGGGGTGGCGGGTGTGTGGTCTCCCCTGCTCCTCCTCCTCCTCTGTCTCCCACTGCTGCAGCTGCTGCTGAGGGGGGTGGGTGTGTGGGAGTCGACGGAGTGGTGCTAGGGGGTGGGGTGTGAGTGAACCTAGGGTGCAGCAGGGGTTGTGTGAAAGGGGGGTGGGATAGTTTGGGGAGGTTGAAGGGGGGTGGCCGCCGTGAAGCCCGCAGCTCCAGTCGCCCGTGAGACCGTTGCGCCAGTCGCCCGTGAGCCCGTTGCGCCAGTCGCCCGTGAGCCAGTTGCTCCAGTCGCCCGTGAGTCCGTTGCTCCTGCCGCTCAGAGTTAGCCGCGGAGCCAGTTACTCCAGTAGCCCGTGCGCCAGTTGCTCCAGTTGCCAGTGTGCCAGTTGCTCCAGTTGCCCGTATGCCAGTTGCTCCAGTTGCGCCGTGTGCCAGCAGCTTCAGCTGCCGCCCACTACCTCCTCTCCTCTCATAGTCCCTCCTCCTCCACACTTGCCCTCGGTGATAGCCTCTAGCTTTGCTTACATTTGTGAACTTTAAACTGTTGCTTCTTGTACTTGTGCTCAGATTGTGTGGTGACATTGTGATCCACCCTGAGCTTGTTGTGCTGATTACACCCCACTTTGGCTATGGGGGTGTGTCAGAATGTTATGTTTGTCTAGCCTGCAGTGGGGTACTCAATAGTGAGTACAGCCCAATTTAGGGTTTGCTATATGTACTCAACTGCTTGCTAGTGAACCATCTCTCTTCTTCCATTTTTCCTCATTTTCTCACACACCCACCGAAGACACTTGGGTTCCCCTGGACAGAATCGAAAACCACCCCGTCCTCACCGAGTATCTGCGCAGCCGAAATTTCAGGGATGTACACGCACTTTCGTAAGGAGGACCTCCTTAGGGGGGGGGGGTAGTGTAAGGAAAATTCCTTTTCCTTACTTCGCGTCCCCGCTCAGCGCGTACACCACTGTAGCACCACAGTCAGCACCGTTACCACTCGCAACCCTCACATCGACAATCCTCCCGCCACCTTCGCACGTCGCACCCCGACCTCACGGCTCGGCGGGTAACCCGCGCTCCGGGCCTCCGCTTCGACACTTTTCCCAACCTCAGTCCCAGGCCCGTCACGCGACAACCACAGTCCATTACTGTTACCACTGTAGTTTCGCTATATATTCTTCGCTCATGCCTTCGCTCATTGTACTCTTGCTTCGATAGTGCAGTTCTCGTTCGTTCACTCAATTGCACTCGTAACAGAATGTCGGAACATCAGTAACGGGGACAATGAACGGCTCAGTGGTCTCGCGCGAGGGAATTTGTTTCCGCGCGAACGTGCCAAATACGCCTGTCGGCCAGTCACCAAACGAACCACTGAGGGACAGTCACTGTCGAGGCAATGCACCAAACGGCCAACGAAGCGGCCTCGCGTGCGGGAACGAAAGAGGGAACCAAAATTCGATTGTGCGATTCGAACGTTTGGGTGCTTCACGAGTAGAGGTGTAATCTGTCTGATCACACCATCACCACCACCTCAAACGCCAGAACCCCTACATAATCTGCACGATAGTTGGAATCCTAATCTCAAACCTTTCGGTGCATCTTCATTCTTCAACCCACTTTGAACTACCTGACTGGATCTGACTTGCAACGATGGCTCCAAAGGCTCTCATTGTGGCTCTCCTTGCCTCGTGTAAGACAGCATCAAAGCCACTCGCCTTCCGTTATCACAGCGTCTGCTTTCCTCCATTGACGATAGTCTGACACCATTATTGCTGAATGCAGTGGTAGGAATCTCCTATGCTGTGACAACAACGGATTTTTGTGCGGGATCGCCTACTCAGGTACAGCGTCGATGCTTCTTATTGCGCTGCAGAGGGTTGGCTAAACGATAGACATCATATAACAAGTACCTCGTTCTTTTGCAGTACTGCGACTTCTTCATCCAAGGATCTAGGGCAGTTCCGACTGTGAGCCTTCAAGTCTTCTCTGGAAACAAGATTCTCTCGGGAAAGCCTATTGTTTACAAGTGAGTTATTGCGAAATCGCTACAGGATTGTTCCCCAATATCTTTCGCTCGACTGATTTCACGCAATCAATTCTTGTGCATACGCAGGACTGGCGAGGGGATTAAGACAGCATACTCGTACCAGTGCACTTTCCCCAACGAGAAGGGGAAGGTAAATTCGTGGACATGCTGAAAACCCCTGTATTCACTTTTCGCGAACAGGCTGACATCACACTGCTTGTCATTTTGCAGAAAGCTCGTACCGCATGCGGAAGCATGTTCCACTTCATGAGCCAGACAAGCAGCTGGAACGAGACGACTCTTGTTGGCAGCCACATGATCACCAAGCAGAACCTGGACGTGAGTATCCTATCTTCGGCGTTCTTTGGCTACTAGCCGGTTCTTCATGCTAACGGGTGCTCGATTGTTCCACAGAAATTCAAGAACAAGTGCGTGAAGATGCTTATTGATAACGTCATGCTCGCAAAGGGCGGCTGGGTCAACAACGGAGATGGGAAGGCCATGTACCCCCAGGTTTGTTACTCGCTTTCAATCTAAGCTCAGCTTATGTTTGAGCCTTCAAGACTCGTTCTAACTGACTCTTCTTGGCCTTTGCAGAGGAGACGCTGCGTGATGTTCCGTACTGCCTAACGCAAGCTGGCGTTCCCAGCATTCTTGAGGGTGCTTCATGGCGTGGAGTAGATAGCTTGTTGCATTTCATAGGTTGCTAGAGTTAGTTCGCTCACGTGTTTTCTAATCGTAGCCTTCATCGACATACTGACTTTGGTCATAACCTTATCATTCCTTTAGCTGTGTATGTGACGATTCAGCCCATAATGTATGCAACAACAAAACACTGACCCAACCATGGAAGCTGCACATGAATATTATGATGCACGAGCATGTTACTTGACGATACACATAGAATAGTTCTGCAGTCCAGGTGGAGGAGAAAATTATCCAAGCGAAGATGCCCTATCGTAAGTCTCCCTATGGTACGTTTAGCTGCACCTTTCCAATCCAGACCTGCTTTATTTGTTATGATTGTGCCCTCCAACTGGTAATAAAAACCAGATTTTACTGAGTCAGGAACTAGATTAGACATAGGGTACCCTAGTAAACTTTTGTGACGGCAGGATATATTAGTGCATCTATGCAAAAACACATCTTGTCCTTAGGACGGAGGAATAGCGCTGTTGTTCTGCCTATTTTTGTGAAGAATGAATTCTGCCTTCCCCGCAACATACTTCAAACTACTTTCGACCTGAGGGCATTGCCTGGCTCGATGAATTCAGCACCTCCATTCTCAGTTCACTTTTTTGTAGAGCCCGCGAAGCAACCCCATAACAAACGTTTGTATGCTGTGTTTCTGATCCTTCCGAACACTAGGCGTCACCCTTCTCTAGGCCTGAATATGAACGGTTCTGAGCATAGAGAGATTGTCAGTCTGGTATCATTTTGGAAAAGATGTCTGCATCATGACAATATGGATTTTCACACTTTTAGTGACAATCAAATTGTGTCTTGCAGAACACTTCGCACTTTTCTTCATTCCGCCACTGGCTCTACACTTTGGGAGAGTCCAGTTCCGGGGATTTTCAGTTTCGTGCCAAACATGTGTCAGCTCGAGTTGCGGTGTTCCACGAACCGCAGGGCTCGTTTCCCCTGGCTGATTCGTGAATCCTGATGTCGCGGCGCGGCCTGCCCCGGCCGCACGATTTGGCCTGTCCGACGCAACTGACACTGCCCATGACTCATCCCAGCCAGGACCCACAGGACAGATCGACACTGCAGGTTATACGTACCAAGGCTGACGACATTACGGAGTGACAGGATGACAGAAAACTAGACACGTGAGAGGAATTAGACATCAACAAGGTGACACATATCAGTCAGACATTTTTTGGGAGGAAGCTAATATAGAAAGCCTGCAAGATAAAGCGCATTCGTCTTACCCTCCTAGCGAACTGCGAGTTTTCTTTCTTCCGCAAGGAACCACAACCTGACCATGGCGTCTCGCGGGTTTTGTGCAGCGCTCCTGCTGCTTTGTACGTCCATGCTGCTTACTGCGTACTGCTTGCTGCGTACTGCTTGCTGCGTACTGCTTGCTGCTAGGCACAAATACTCGTCCAGTGCTAGCGATAGTGCCAGCTTTTTCTATTTCCTGTGCTAAAGCCTTGCAATCTACATCCCCTGCTTTCTCATCGTGCCTCTCTCCAGCCTTCGGACTTATAATGTGCCTCCAAGCGGTCCCGTCTCAGAGCGTCCGATGCTACTCCAGGCCTCTCGCGGTGCGTCCGTCCAGCTCCTGTTCATACTAATCTTAATACAGAGAAACGTAATGTGGCGCCAGCGACCTGGTTGGAAATGTAGAAGCTTTGTCAACGACATCGCCAGCGCCTTGTGACTTTAGAGTCGACTAAAAAATCACCTGCTTATTCCATTCAAAATATATAGAAACGCTGCCAGCGCCTAGGTCTGTTGCGCAAGTGCTGCATCAGCTCTAAGGTCTCCATTTCTCCCTTCCCCCTTCCCTCGCCACCTCCCGCCGCGATCCAGCCTTGCGACTTCGTGGTGAAAGGAAGTGCAGGAGTTGTGCCACAGTATCGCGTGGTGTCGTTTCTTGGAAACAAGCTGCTCAGCCGCACCCCCATCATCCACAAGTATGTAAGAGAAGGTTATGTTATGTGCTTACTTGATGAGTGAAGCAATGACGGGCGTAAGGTGAATGTGGGGAAGAAAGAAAGGAACGAGCGAGATGAAAGGAGGAGGAAGTTCATAGTTATGTTTTCTCAGGTACGATAGAAGGTCCTGTGCTCCCGGCTCCTTTACGAATAAGAGGCTTATATATCATTCCATTGCACTGATAACCTGATTGATGTTGACTGCTGCCTCTTGAGAATTCTCAAAAGCGACCTCTAATGTACTGTACTGAGAACTTCATCGTGATGTGGACTGGTGCAGGTCTGGCGATCTTGTCATCACTGCTTCTTCAGATGACTGCACGTTCGTGGTGAGTCAGCCATTTCTCGAAAAATCTTGAGTAAGGCTTGCTTTAATACCAATAGAAACGCAGGGCGCAAGTGGTAGAGACTCTGTTTGTGGGGAGAGAGCTACAGTATAACATTCTGTTGTGGTTACCCCATGGTTACTTATGAGTGTTGACCGCGGTTATGGTTGTCGTGTTTCCTGTTTTGGGTTCGCAGAACTCGGGTGCGAGTTGCGAGAACCGTTTCTTCTTCATGCCGCCAGGCAACGACTACAACAAGACCAACTTTATCGGGCAACACCCCATTGCACGCACTGGCCTTGCGGTAAGTCCTTCGCTTGTACCCTGTTGCACACGATTACCAGCTGAAATTCTTTGCAGTGGTCGTTGTATGAGTGCGTGCACTTTGATGTGAATTCATGGGTGGAACCATGATTTGTTGTTCACATTTAATTGCAGGTATACAAGCAGCAGTGCGTTCTTCTGTACATGAACAACGCTCTCCTGGCGAGGGCTGGGTGGCTCAATAACGGGGACAACAAGCGCAAGTTTCCCCAGGTAAGGGCATTTAAAGGAGGTTCTTGCTCGGAACACAACAACCGTTACGTACCAGATCAGTGTTTCAAGCGTCTGTTCTATATAGCTGCTGTCCACCTCACGTCTGCACCTCTCATCCCGTGCTCCCTGCTGCCACTTCTGTGTCTCTGCGTTCGTCCCTGCATTTGACTGTTCTAGAAGTAACCCACATATTTCTTTTCCTGCTTGCCTTCACTGCAGGCTCGTCGCTGTGTGGTCTTTACCACAATCTAGCATTCATGACCAGCTCCTTCCAATGTCTCACCACGAAGTGGGCATACATGTACCTATCCGAGCGTTAGTTTCAGTCGTGTCATGCCGTTAGTTTCAGTCGTGTCATGCCCATAGGTTTCATTTGTGGCATCCCCTATACAGGTTTTGCACCATGTAAGAACGAACTGCTTATTGTCTGGTGAGTGGGTTTTGGAAATAATATCTTACTGTACATGGGGAATACCGTAAGCGCCCGATTAGTGGAACCCTCTACACTAGAGAGGATGGGCTCCTCCATTTGTCAAGAGCAGGACAATAACTCCTCCATCAATAAGACATCACCGATTAGGCAAAGCATGCTTGCCAAGTGCCTTGATATTAGTAATCCATCATCTGAAAGAAGCAAAGCTTGCACTTCCAAGAAAGAGTGAACGGAAATATTACCACCAGATTAAAATACTATCATTGCATAAAAAGTCTAAGTTTATCTGTTTCACCATGTCTTGAGATGATTACGAATGGTCGGACACGCAAAATGAACGAGTTTATGTTTCGTAGACTAACGTATATCAGAGAATTAAGAGATTTATGCTGAAGATACATTGGAGTGGTGAGTGTAAGAAAGATGTGGCATTTCTCGTGACATAAAAAAGTACACTAGGAGCTTGCTGACTTTCTTCCAGGGAGTGGAGGTGATGAGTGTACAAATCACGGCTTATAAACCACGTACCGCATAGCATATTATCGAACAAATGTGGCACCTGCCGAGCCTGTACGGCACTCTCTCGCACCAGTACAACCCGTTGGTTGGTTTTCGGGCAAGCTGAAGTGAGTGCTGGTTTGCAGCATCAAGAGTCGTGGCTGATGTAGACGAATCGCGCTACATGAGCCTGGCTGCGCCCCAGCTTTTTTGTCAGCGAAACAGTCACAGAGCGACTGTTCAACGTGACATATCAGCGACGCCGACGCGTCAAACGGCTACTTTCCCAAAGGTGACGGCCCGCGAGAGGTTCGCGGCTGCTTCGAAAAAATCCACCTTCGAACGTTTGGCGGATGGGTTGGTCCCGGGCAGCCCGAGCGGTGCGTGTGCGATACAAGATTTTGGTAATCGTCATTAGTCGCAGCGCATGTTGACGACTCACACTGGAATCTGCTTTTCCGTTTCATTCCGTGCTGGGGTCTTGACTTTTTCCGTTTCAACAGTCTTTCGCCAAATTCGGGAAACGCAAATTCGCGCCACTCGTGGAGCCCTCGCGATGTCGCACTCCGCACGCTTGTCGTTGCTACAGTAACACGTCCGTTTTTCATCGTAACCGCCTGTGTTCCGTCTAGTGATTTAGGGCTCACGAGTCGCTGGATTGTTCATTTTCTTCGCAAATTCGTTCAGTTCATCCGTTTGAGTTTGTCACAGTTCCAGCTGTCCTTTCCCATTTTGCTCATCCGTTTCCGTGGCTACCCGCGCAACTTTCGGCAAAGGTGAGCGATCACTGGGCAACTTTCCGAAGCTGAATGAGAGAATCCCAGCTGTTTACGACTCTATCAAGGCTTGTCAGTCTTGCGGGGAGCGTCGTTGTGGGTCGCATATACTGTCGTCTGCCCTCTGCGAAGCATTTAGAGAACGAAATTCTGTCGGTGTGCGCTTCCATTTCGAACATTTTCCATTCCCTTTGCCACTCATTTCTCATCACTGCACCTCAATTCCCGACTCGGGCGATCCTTCCACCCCCCCAGCTACAGCGAACGTCCCGTCACCTCGTTCTTTGCAACAAGTTGAGCCCCGTTTGACGGTCGTCCTGTCAATTTAGTCTCCAGAGCTCCGTAATATTTCCTTTCTCCACGCAGGCTGCACGTCGGTAGAGGCCGAAATTCGCCATTCACGAGCTGCCTCCAACTTCTGCCATTTTCACAAGCATAGAGTAATTCCGGATTGACGAGCTGCGTCACGCGGCTCTCCTGATACAACAATAGCGACGCCCCGTTTCGACAGATGACGAAGATGGTGTGGCGGATAAGCTGGTCTGTGTCACTCACGCTCCTCCTCGGTACGTCTTGTATTGGTTTATAGTGTTCTCAAGAGCCTGTCCTCGATAGAAATCTCATCGTCAATCGCTCATCGTAATTTCTCGGCCCCATGTCGCTCTTCTTTTCCGTCTTTGCCCGTCCCGTACCCCGTTGCTTATCACGCTTCGTACTCCGCGCGTTTCATAACACATTCGATTCCGCGTCACCCGTCCACCTCTGCGAATCGTCCATGCAGTGTCGCTAGTCGCAGCCTTGTCGCACAGCGACACGCCCACGAATCTGATCCTCAATGGCGACATGGAAGAGCCCGGTGTACGCGGCGACGCCAGCGTCGCAGGCCCGCTCACGCGCCGCCACAGGAAACGCCTCCCCTCCGCGTGGCACCTAGTTTCCGGGTCGATTAAGTACGTGCGCCTCGAGCACTGGCCCGCAGCCTCCGGCGATCATAGCATCGCTCTCAACGGCCACGGACCTGCGACTCTCGCGCAGCGTGTGGTAACCCGACCAGGCGAATTCTACTTCGTGCACTTCGACCTCACTGGCGATCCCGGTTTGGAAGACGAGGGCGCCGTGCGATCGCTGCGGGTCAGCGTGATAGACGAGGACAGTGGGGCGCCGGTTACCGCGCGAACATACGAATTCGACACCTTTTCGCACGGAGGTGCAGAGGAGGCGAAACGCAGTCGCGAAGGGATGGGGTGGCGGTCGCACACGCTCGCGTTTGAAGCACCTGGCGTCGCTGTCACTCTGCTGTTCGCGTCGACAACTCCCGGAATTCACGGCCCCGTTATTGACAACGTGCGAGTGCACAAACAAAGTGAGTCCTTCCGTTTTTGGAAACATGCGAACCTCCCACGCCTCCTGTGCTCTCTCCCCTCCCCCAAACCCGACCCCTTGATCTCGTATCTACGCCTTTCCATTTGTCTACTCGTTGGCATCTTCGGGTCACTAACTGTCATACCTGTTCTTTGTCCGTTTTATCCTATTTAATCTCTGACAGATGCCACGTCAGCGTTCCTCCACTCGCCCAATACGCTCTACCATTCCCCCACAATCGACACCGTGGGACCCGCCGCCACTCCCGAGGCGTGCGGGCGACGCTGCCTCGAGATTCCCGACTGCCGCGGCTTCTCTATTGACATCCCCGTTCCCGGTTTAAGCGACGGTATGGTACAGTGCCATTTGAAGATGCTTATGAAGAAGCCATCCATGGTGGGGCAGAACCGAGCAGACTCGTACGTTCTGAAGCGCGCCGAGTGCTCGTTTGGGCACAGTAACGCGATGCAATGTCCGGACATGCTGCCTATATCGGGGATGCTGCCCATGGCGTGTGTTGCGCACAAGTCGGCGAAGCGCCAGACAGAACACCCTTTCGCCGGAACCTGCAAGGCGCTAAAGCGGACGAATCTGTGCCCATTCGCGGGTGGTTACTTCGCTAAAGGGTTCGGTAATATCGGGAGCGCGGACGACTACAGGCGGTGCTCGTGCGTGGAGGGGTCGGGAGGAATCGCGCGGTTGCAATGCGGACACGTGGTGTAAGAAGCGCGGGAGATGGACAGAATTATGGGAGAGGAGGGGGAGAGTGGGGGTGTGGGGAAGGCGGAGGGTGGAGGAGTAGGCTGTTGGGGGATTGGCGAATGCAGGGCGAACGCAACGTGGAGCAATGAAACAGCGGGTATGGCCATTTGTGATGCGGTGTGATAGCAGCCTAATGCGTTCAAGATGGAGGGGAATTACCAGGAATTCGAAGGGAAAGGGACGCGCGTTCAGCCTCTATACTGGGCATAAACACGGAGAGACGATGGGAGCTGCTCAGTCCACTATCCACCAATTACAGAGACGTCACTGCTGCGGATATCTTGATGGGTCTGCTTCCTCCTCGCCCTCCTTCCTCGCTTCTCTCGTTGACCAATCCGAAGTCAGAAGGCAGGGGAAGAAGAACAAGAAGCCGCACCACGCAGGGGGAGGGAAAGTGGGGAAGCCAAAGGTAAGCTGGAGTCCCCCTTCCAGAAGACGCACCCAATACTAATGAAATAAACTAATTGTTTGTTCATGCACAAGGGCGGGGAACAAACAGAATGGGTTAGGGCTCGGCCTAGCAGGTCATGGACGTGTCATTGTCTTCCCTAGGAGGGTAGGATAGGAGTAGGTGATTAGTGTGCTGTGTGCACACTTTAGGCAGCAATTTGTGGCGATCTGGAATAATGCAGATTTCATTTTTTAGATTCATACGTGCATCCATCGAGGGATAATTGTGATTTGGAGGCACCATACGTGTTTGCAGAACATGCAAAAATCCGTCGCTTGTCAAGTCTCGAAACGCTTTCATGCACGTCGTGCTTGGTTCATGAAAGCTTCCATCCCCTACAGAAGAACTACAGACAGTAGAAAGAGCTTTCACTATTTTGCACTATGCTTGGATAAGCACACCATACTGAACCAACTCATCATGGCTTTCCCGCTGCATCGTCTGCACCTGGCACTGGCGTCTTGACTACCGCTGCTACTACAGCTCCTACCACTACCACTGCAGCACGTGTCCTTGCTCCTCCTATATGTGGTAGTTGGGCTGCTGCTGATACTGCTGCTGCTGCTGCTGCTGCCAACATTGCTGCTGCCCTTCTTGCTGCTCTGGCTGCTGCATTTCCTGCTGCTCTGGTCGCTGCATTTCCTGCTGCTCTGGTCGCTGCATTTCCTGCTGCTCTGGCTTGAAGTTTTCGACTTCCTCTTGCTGCAAGGCTTGAGATTGTCTCTACACTGCATATATTGGGCTGTCTGATGCGATAGGGCGTCCTTGAGCATGGTCACAAGCATGTCATCTGCGATCCACATGTCGTACGCCGATTGGTGGATGAGTCTTCGCATACCAGCTAGTTGCTCTTCACTCACAGCTTCGCGAGCTTCTGTACATTAAGAAGAAAAATGCAAATAATGTTAGATTATTTCAGCACTTGTATACAGACAGCATGAGGCACAAGCTTACAGTAAACCATTCAGAGCAGAGTAATCAATCAAGGCGCACAGACAGAATGTCCTACCTTCTGTGTTTTGAGTCGACTCAAAACAAGGCGCACAGACAGAATGCCTTGCCTTTTGGAGAAATCTCAGCGAATCTGCGCAGCGAATGATATCCGTCAGGCTGTCGCCAGTCCTTGTCGCACAGGTTGCTAGCTGCGCGAAATTCCACTTCCCATCGCGAAGTTTTCGCGGGCCTCGCTGGGTCGTTGGTGACGTCGCGTGCGAATGCTGCAGCGTGATTTTCTCGCCATTCGATGACTCGTCGCATGGCGGCGTCGCCAGTCGTCGCAGGAGTAACCCCCATTCCCGAGCAGCGTTGAGGTTTTGCTCCCGTCCGGACCAAAATATATAACTGAACCTAGTAACGCGCGCCTCGTGGTCAAGTCGGTGTAAGGAAGGACAACGATAGGATCTGGTGCTTGAACGGTACTGAAAGGAGTATCTGTTTGAATCGGAAAATTTAGGGAGAATGGGGCAGGAGGGCGAACCCACGAAGACAGGACGTTCGAGTGAAGGCTTTCACACGGGTGCAGCAATGCAATGCAACGCAGCTCTGCAATGTCCTTGAGGGATCCAGCCTGGATAGAAATGCTGCCGAGGAAGCAGAAGAAGCAAAGTATGTAAGCAGATGACGCGGCGTGCACAGGAAGCACGGATGAAGAAGAAGCTGTAATCAAAGCAGATACAGAAAACATTTGCCAGCGGGTGGTGGACTGAGGTGCGATCGAGAGAGGCGATGACGAGGAGGTGGGGTGGAGTGGAGTGGAATATATGTAGCTGGGAAGGAATGGCAGTGGTGGAATGGGTGGTCTTGTGTACTGTAAAAGGCAGTTCACCCAAACATCTTACAACTTTCTGGTCGGCAAAATTTGAAACGATTTTCTTGCTTCAGCGATTCTCCCTGGTGGAGGGTGGGCCTGATGGCAGACTGCTTTCGCCTCCTCACATTTTTTGGCGTTTTGGGGATCCTTTTTGCGTCCTCCCACGGCCGTCCAAACGCCGTGGGTTTCAGCTGGCGGCTGATTCGATGCGAGTGTGGTGGGTTGGGGGGCGGTGTCATTCCGTGTCTGTGCCTCCCGAGTGAAGTGCTAGCTGTTTTCAAGTGCAGTTGAGATTTTCTGAGTTCCAAACCGTAACTTTTGATTCTTAGGAAAGTCCCCTCAAACCAGACTTGATTCTGGACTGCTTTGAGCAAAAATAGTGGCTTCATATAGAAGCGTGAAATCGGAGTTTGATGCTCGGTACTGATTAGAAAATGTTCGTATTTTGCTGCCGTGATGTGGTGCTCGAATGCATGTTTTAGTAAAGTGCGAGATATCAGCGACGCAAATCTGATCTCACTTCATTGCAATTGGCAGATTTGATCATAGGAGCTGGGGCGACGTCTCGGGCACTCAGGGAATGTAAAAGAGGACACGTGAGAAGGATGGGGACAATCAAAGTGCAAGTGCTTTGTTCCTTTCTTGTTGCTAAAGTGATTTCGCACGCCTTTGGTAAATTATTAACGAGTCAGTTTGTATGAGGGGAAATTGTCGGGTTTTCCAAGGTTGTGTGTCGTGTCTCATTATTGGGCAAGTCCATTTGTTTTAAACTGGTGCGATCTGGTGCGCAAAGTTCTAAAGCGGTGGAAATTGGGAGAGGTTTCCAGCACTGCACATATGGTTCAGTAGTTTATGGCGTAGTTTACAACTTCACAACCGTCACCAACAGGATTGGAACTCAGTTTATCACGTCTGGCTCGAAGTCATTTTGCAAAAGGTCCTATGTATATCCTAAACAATCATTGGAGTTGTCCGGGATATAACCTATTAGGTACGGATACCTGTCAGGACAAACGCATTCAAGGTGTATGCCAACCGACGAGTTCGCTTCTGTAACAAACCAGCGCGCTCACCGCAAGTGGAATTCTTTGATATATACGACAATTATATTACTCAAACTAAGAACAATTCTGTTGAGTTCTACTTTGCATATCGGACTCGACCCGGTTTGGTCGAATCCTGGTGGAAGCTGATATGGACCAAACCCAAACCACATCAGCTTCGGGGAGGTCCGGATCAGGTTCGTCAGAATTCGGTCCAGGTTCGGTGGCGTGCGCTGGAGTTGCCGGTCTGGTGGCAGGAGCTCTGCTGCCATTGGTCGGGCGGCAATTAAGAGGCGCTCTTGGTGGGTGTGCTGCGAGCCTTCCCTGGAAATTAACTTCCACTTCCGGAATTTGAGTTTTTCATCCTTTTTTCGCCTCGGTTTCCCCTCTCCCGCTCTCCGTTTCCATCTAACTTCCCTCCCCGCTCCCCCTTTCCCTCCCCCTCTCCTCCCCTCCACCCTCATCTCACTCCCCCCTGACACCAGCGGCCCTGTGACTAACTTTAACCCCCTTTCTCTTGCCGCTTCCTCTCTCTTGCCGCTTGCTCTCTCTTGCCACTCCCCCTCTCTTGCCGCTCCCTCTCTCTTGCCGTTCCCTCTCCCTCTTACCGCTCCCCCTCTCTTGCCGCTCCCCCCCCCTCTCTCTCTCTCTCTCTCTCTCTCTCTCTCTCTCTCTCTCTCTCTCTCTCTCGCCGCTCCTCAGGTCGGTTTTTGCCTGCCCCTACTGCACAACAATCAGCAGCAGCAGCGGCGGGCTCACAAGCAGCACCAGACGCAGCAGCAGCAGACGGAACAGCAGCAGGAATTAAACGCACAGATGTGGACCTTGCTGACGTGGCAGTGACGTGGATCCGTCCACCGCACCCCGATTGGCAGGCTCCTGATCAGCTGCTGCCGCCCTTCCCTGTCCCCTCAGCGGTTGACACTGAGGGTGGGAAGGATGGGGAAGAGGAGGGTAGGAGAGAGGAGGGAAAAGGAGGAGAGGGAGGAGGGGAGGTGGGGGTGGTGAGTGTGCGAGTAGCGGACTGCAGCAGCAGTGTGCTGTACCCCCTCGTTATAAGCACAGTGGTTCCTCGGCCTATAGCCTTTATCTCTACACTTTCCAAGGTAGGGGTTACAAGAAGATAAGACATTCCATCCTGACTCTGTATCCCTGATAAAACATGATGCACTGGCGATGGGTTTTTTAATCTTCTTTCATTGCCTGTTTCCTGCTCTCCCTTACCTGTCCAGACTGGTGTGGGAAATCTTTCCCCCTACTCCTATTTCAACGCTGTGACTGACCCACAATCCCCCCATGCTTGCTTCCTATCCCCTCACCTTCATCCCTTCACCGCCTCTCTCTCGCTGGTCTCCCCGTCTTTTCCATACTGGTGTGGGAAATCTCTCCCCCTACTCTTATTTCAACACTGTGACTGACCCACAATCCCCCCATGCTTGCTTCCTATCCCCTCACCTTCATCCCTTCACCGCCTCTCTCTCGCTGGTCTCCCCGTCTTTTCCATACTGGTGTGGGAAATCTCTCCCCCTACTCTTATTTCAACACTGTGACTGACCCACAATCCCCCCATGCTTGCTTCCTATCCCCTCACCTTCATCCCTTCACCGCCTCTCTCTCGCTGGTCTCCCCGTCTTTTCCATACTGGTGTGGGAAATCTCTCCCCCTACTCTTATTTCAACACTGTGACTGACCCACAATCCCCCCATGCTTGCTTCCTATCCCCTCACCTTCATCCCTTCACCGCCTCTCTCTCGCTGGTCTCCCCGTCTTTTCCATACTGGTGTGGGAAATCTCTCCCCCTACTCTTATTTCAACACTGTGACTGACCCACAATCCCCCCATGCTTGCTTCCTATCCCCTCACCTTCATCCCTTCACCGCCTCTCTCTCGCTGGTCTCCCCGTCTTTTCCATACTGGTGTGGGAAATCTCTCCCCCTACTCTTATTTCAACACTGTGACTGACCCACAATCCCCCCATGCTTGCTTCCTATCCCCTCACCTTCATCCCTTCACCGCCTCTCTCTCGCTGGTCTCCCCGTCTTTTCCATACTGGTGTGGGAAATCTCTCCCCCTACTCTTATTTCAACACTGTGACTGACCCACAATCCCCCCATGCTTGCTTCCTATCCCCTCACCTTCATCCCTTCACCGCCTCTCTCTCGCTGGTCTCCCCGTCTTTTCCATACTGGTGTGGGAAATCTCTCCCCCTACTCTTATTTCAACACTGTGACTGACCCACAATCCCCCCATGCTTGCTTCCTATCCCCTCACCTTCATCCCTTCACCGCCTCTCTCTCGCTGGTCTCCCCGTCTTTTCCATACTGGTGTGGGAAATCTCTCCCCCTACTCTTATTTCAACACTGTGACTGACCCACAACCCCCCCATGCTTGCTTCCTATCCCCTCACCTTCATCCCTTCACCGCCTCTCTCTCGCTGGTCTCCCCGTCTTTTCCATACTGGTGTGGGAAATCTCTCCCCCTACTCTTATTTCAACACTGTGACTGACCCACAATCCCCCCATGCTTGCTTCCTATCCCCTCACCTTCATCCCTTCACCGCCTCTCTCTCGCTGGTCTCCCCGTCTTTTCCATACTGGTGTGGGAAATCTCTCCCCCTACTCTTATTTCAACACTGTGACTGACCCACAATCCCCCCATGCTTGCTTCCTATCCCCTCACCTTCATCCCTTCACCGCCTCTCTCTCGCTGGTCTCCCCGTCTTTTCCATACTGGTGTGGGAAATCTCTCCCCCTACTCTTATTTCAACACTGTGACTGACCCACAATCCCCCCATGCTTGCTTCCTATCCCCTCACCTTCATCCCTTCACCGCCTCTCTCTCGCTGGTCTCCCCGTCTTTTCCATACTGGTGTGGGAAATCTCTCCCCCTACTCTTATTTCAACACTGTGACTGACCCACAATCCCCCCATGCTTGCTTCCTATCCCCTCACCTTCATCCCTTCACCGCCTCTCTCTCGCTGGTCTCCCCGTCTTTTCCATACTGGTGTGGGAAATCTCTCCCCCTACTCTTATTTCAACACTGTGACTGACCCACAATCCCCCCATGCTTGCTTCCTATCCCCTCACCTTCATCCCTTCACCACCTCTCTCTCGCTGGTCTCCCCGTCTTTTCCATACTGGTGTGGGAAATCTCTCCCCCTACTCTTATTTCAACACTGTGACTGACCCACAATCCCCCCATGCTTGCTTCCTATCCCCTCACCTTCATCCCTTCACCGCCTCTCTCTCGCTGGTCTCCCCGTCTTTTCCATACTGGTGTGGGAAATCTCTCCCCCTACTCTTATTTCAACACTGTGACTGACCCACAATCCCCCCATGCTTGCTTCCTATCCCCTCACCTTCATCCCTTCACCGCCTCTCTCTCGCTGGTCTCCCCGTCTTTTCCATACTGGTGTGGGAAATCTCTCCCCCTACTCTTATTTCAACACTGTGACTGACCCACAATCCCCCCATGCTTGCTTCCTATCCCCTCACCTTCATCCCTTCACCGCCTCTCTCTCGCTGGTCTCCCCGTCTTTTCCATACTGGTGTGGGAAATCTCTCCCCCTACTCTTATTTCAACACTGTGACTGACCCACAATCCCCCCATGCTTGCTTCCTATCCCCTCACCTTCATCCCTTCACCGCCTCTCTCTCGCTGGTCTCCCCGTCTTTTCCATACTGGTGTGGGAAATCTCTCCCCCTACTCTTATTTCAACACTGTGACTGACCCACAATCCCCCCATGCTTGCTTCCTATCCCCTCACCTTCATCCCTTCACCGCCTCTCTCTCGCTGGTCTCCCCGTCTTTTCCATACTGGTGTGGGAAATCTCTCCCCCTACTCTTATTTCAACAATGTGACTGACCCACAATCCCCCCATGCTTGCTTCCTATCCCCTCACCTTCATCCCTTCACCGCCTCTCTCTCGCTGGTCTCCCCGTCTTTTCCATACTGGTGTGGGAAATCTCTCCCCCTACTCTTATTTCAACACTGTGACTGACCCACAATCCCCCCATGCTTGCTTCCTATCCCCTCACCTTCATCCCTTCACCGCCTCTCTCTCGCTGGTCTCCCCGTCTTTTCCATACTGGTGTGGGAAATCTCTCCCCCTACTCTTATTTCAACACTGTGACTGACCCACAATCCCCCCATGCTTGCTTCCTATCCCCTCACCTTCATCCCTTCACCGCCTCTCTCTCGCTGGTCTCCCCGTCTTTTCCATACTGGTGTGGGAAATCTCTCCCCCTACTCTTATTTCAATACTGTGACTGACCCACAATCCCCCCATGCTTGCTTCCTATCCCCTCACCTTCATCCCTTCACCGCCTCTCTCTCGCTGGTCTCCCCGTCTTTTCCATACTGGTGTGGGAAATCTCTCCCCCTACTCTTATTTCAACACTGTGACTGACCCACAATCCCCCCATGCTTGCTTCCTATGTCGGAGATACAGCTCTACCCTCATCATCTGCCTTAGTCCTCATGCTCTTCGTCCCTTAGCTCCTTCGGTTGCCTCAGCCACTCTGTATGAAAGTGACAGAACTCTCACCTCAAAGGTCCTCCCTGAGTGGTGTGCCACCTGCCTGCTCTGGTAAGGTAACAACAGTCCACTATACGAAAGGATAACAAACAGAAAGCATCAGAGGTGTGTGTGAGAGTGAACTTACCTGACCCTGGCTCGAACCGTGCATTTCTCAATGTGCGGCTCGAGCCTGGGTTGGTTCGTTCTCATTGGTTGCAAGGATTTCACCCAAGGTGCTCTCCTACCAACTTCGCGTCAATTTCCCAGCTCCCACCTACCTATCCTCGAATTTGCAAACACAACATAGCTACACCTCCACTACACCACCATGATAATGGCACCTTATATGCACAACCGTGCATATTCGGTGACAGCAGTCGGAGATACAGCTCTACCCTCATCATCTGCCTTAGTCCTCATGCTCTTCGTCCCTTAGCTCCTTCGGTTGCCTCAGCCACTCTCTGCCCCCTCCTGTGCCCGCGCTCGAGCGGCTTGAGCACGGGTCACAGGACCAGTACGCTGAGGCCCGGTCCCTCTGATCACTGCAGTGTTCGTCTGATGTTCCCTCAGCTGCGCTCCGGTGTCGTTTTCCAAGACCAGCACCCCTGAGGGGCGCACCTCCTTGACTTTCCAGCGGATGGTCCCCAACCCCACGTCAAGGGTGTCCTGCTTAGCCCTCTTCAGATAGACTTCCTGTCCCTCGCAGACATCCTTTGCTGTGCTTCCCTCCCCTTTGTGTTGCCTCTGTTCGTATCTTCTTGCGTCCCTGAGCTGCGCGGTGTGCAGATTCTCCAACGTGGCTGGCATCATGTAGCGCATGTAGCGCGCCCTCACCTCGGACAGGGCTACCCAGTTCCTGATCGTGCCCGCTGTCACTGTATCTGTCAATACTCGTGGTGCTCCCACTGGCAGAATCGGCTCTCGTCCGAACAGCAGGCTATACGGGGAGTGATCCTTCAACGCTGCCTGCTTCCCGAACCTGTACCCTGCCGCGATCCAGTCCAACTCCTCATCCCAATCCCTCTTCCTCTGCTCCCCGTAGGCCCGCAGCCCCCGCTTGAAGGTTTGCACAGCTCTCTCAGTCAGCCCATCACTCTGCGGGTGATAGCGGGAGGTCTTTCGGTGCGTGATGCCAGACTCCGCCAGCAGCTTCTTGAACTCCCCCTGGAACTCTGTTCCCTGGTCTGTGAGTACCTCCCCGCATGCTCCAAATCGGCACACTACTTGCGCTTTGAAGGCTGCTGCAATGTGCCTCGCGCTCTTGCTAGGGATAGCTCGCACCTCCAGCCACTTGCTCACATGTTCCACCATGAACACGATGTACTGATTCCCGCTCCGACTCAGTGGCAGCTCTCCCACGAGGTCCAGGGACCAACGGAACCCTAGTCCGCAGATTGGCAGTGAGTGCAGCTCTGCTTTGGCCTGCGTCAGGTTTGCTTTGCTCCTCTGACACGCCTCGCACCCCTCCACCCACTCTTTTACTTGCCTGCGCATCCCTTCCCACCACCAGCCTGTCTTCAGCAGGTGTACGGTCCTCTCGTGCCCGAAGTGCCCCAGCTTAGTGTGCACTTCCTTGATCACTGCT